AATTACTTTTCTTGGTAGAAAATATCATAAAATTCATTCTTCAAGTTTCAGTATTTTTTTTTTTTCTGTGCTTTAAATATATATATATATAATTTACATTATATATTTTTATATATAATTTATATATAATTTTATATATAATTTTTATATATTTTATACTTATGTGTATATATATGTGTATATGTATTTTATATATATTTTCGTATTTTTGTATTATATATATATATATATTTTACATATAATTTTACATGTCTTGTATTTTTATATATATGTTTAAGATATTATAAGACATATTTTAAGGATATATTTCTATATATCTCATATATTTTTTATTTTTCTTTATATTTTTCTATGATTTTTTTTTTTTTTTGAGATTTTTAAAAATATAACATGTAAAAATGTATAAAGAGTAAAATGAAATTCTACGTTATATGATTAAAATTAAAATTATAGAAAAATGATAAATGATATATAATAGCTTTTTGTCAATGAGTCATTTGGATAAGATTTTCGATTTTATAATATCTGAAAAAATTTCGCATACTATTTTCTGTCATATTATATGCACCTAATACAAAATCGTAAGAACAAAAATTTTTTATCAAAAAAATATAATCCGACGAAAAGTGACAAGCAAAATTTTTTCAAAAATATATTAAATTATGAAAATCGAAAAATTATTATTTGAAAATAGAATATAATTGAATGTGATTAAATATATCTTAAATTAATTTTTTTGAAGTAAATGATTTAGTTCTCTTTTATTTAAAATAAAATGTATACAAATGTATATAATATATAAAATATATATTAAAATATTATACATCTTTTAAAAAACTTTAAAAAACTTACAAAGAATAATTTGATTTTTATATAATTCTTACACATTATCTACGAAAACAATAATAAAAAATAATATCAAAATATATACCTCATAAAATCATTCAAATTTTATTTGAAACATTTTTTGCTAAAAAAAAATAATCACATAAATCAAATAAATAACATAAGATAAAATATTCTGTATATATATATATAAAATTGATATATTATAAATATAAATATGTATTTTAATTCCAATATTACAAAATACTTCTACAAAATTCCATAAAATATCATTTCTATTCTATATTTCATCTGAACATATAATCCTATAAATTTTTAATAAAATATTGTCGATAAGTTAGATAATTTTAAAATTTTTAGTAATCAACGCCATCTCGCGGATTGACGCTAGAAGCTTCGACTTGTTAATAGCAACACAGAATGTGTGAGGAGGTATTCGTGACGTCATCGAGAAGGAAAGCAACATTGTGCGAAAAGGACAGAGAATACGTGCCACTAACTTTGGTTATGCGGCTCCTAATATCCCCCACCATTTTAAAGACGCAATATTGAAAATTGATTATTTATTAATTTCTTACTAAAAATTTCTACACTTTTAAGCTTGCATCTTGGAAAAAAGACCTCAAATAATTTTCTCATATAAATTTTAACCAGAAATTGTTATTAATTAATTATTTATTAATGATTATTACGTTATATGTGGGATGATGCAATCGACGCGTAACGCGTTTTTCACCAATTCTTTATTATTACAAGATTTATTTGTAAATATTAAAGTATGCATTTCAAACGTTACTTTATCCCCTACTTTCACGTATAATTTTTATTCAGAATTTTTTTGTTATAAACGTGAATAAATCAATTCTTTATTACAGATCGAATTACGGATCGAAAATTTGCGACTGCCAGACTTTCTCTAATTTTATTACTAGTTTTTTACTAAAAATTTCTACACTTTTAAGCTTGCAT